AAATATTTTGCTGTTTGATATATTTACATCTATTCGAATTGTTTCGAATTGATTCGAAATATTGCACAATTTATAACGTAATATTATGCAATAAGTTTCGTAATTTTGCATAATATATTTCGTAATATTACGTAGTGTTACAAGCTGCTGGAGCAGCCACGGCTAAGGCGGCTTAGCCAGCTAAGCCAGCCGATATAATATAATCGGCTGGCTAATATGGCTTAAAGTCATATGACTTTAAGTAGTATAATTTAGGCCGGAGTAATAATGTTAGGCAGAATTAGGTATCATATGCCACTGACTATAGTACTCCCGGGTACTATTCAATAAACCATCAAAATTTCTTAAATAGTACCCACCCAGTACTAATCACAAGGAAGAGTACTATAATAGGAGATACTTATATACCTTCATATTATTTAATAAGGACTTCAAAACTAAATATATATATACCTAGCTAGAATAATACCCAAGCCTTATTCAATTTTCTAAATCACAAACCCATGAATAGTATTTGAGTCTTTTTCATGAGGTATTGTGATAGGAGGTATTATAGTTGGTAACATATAGTAATAGAAAGCAAGAATCTAAAAATTTCCAAAGAGAAAATGAACGAACATCGAAGATAAACAAGATTAAGAAAAAAATTTGGCTTTAGCCATTAGCCAGCCGGTAAGCTGAATTTTTTATCAGCTGGCTAAGCCAGCCGATAAAAACCTTATGACTTGTAACACTAATATTACATTATATTTTGCGCAATATTTCGCAATTTCTTGCGCAATATTTTGTCTAGACCGTAATTATTGCGCAATATTTCAGGGCGTAATAACTTATGTAAGTTTACATTATTATATTTCGCTGATGTATCCTGTATATTATATAGTTATACTCTTGCAATTGTAAAATCCAATTCATCATTGTACGATTTGTACAACTTTTCATTGATTTTGTTGATGATATTCCTGTTAAGTCAGTATAAATGTATATTTGTTGTGTTCCAATATGGTGTCTCCATTTTTCTAGGAATACGTATATCGCATATAGTTCTCTTTGTGTACTAGGCCAACAGCGTTGTGATTCGTTTAATCCTACTGAGCCTATTTCTATTATGCATCTTCCTGATTTGATTGGTTTGGAATAGTTCTTGAGTTCTTCTTTAAGCATTTCTTGTTTAGATACTTTTTTATAATATTGCCGTTCGAAATCTTCTTGGTATAAGATTGTGGCTATAGCTTCTTGTGAAGCATCACATTTCATAAAGAATGGTTGTTTTGGATCTAAAAATGATAGAGCTAATTCTCTTTTCATTTCTTCCTTAAGTCATTCAAATGCTTTTGTGCATTCATCGTTCTATTGGAACTCTTTATTTCCTGTTAGTTTATAAAGTGTATCTGCTATTTTTCCAAAATCATAAATGTATAGTCTAAAGTAGTTCATAAATCCTAAGAATTGTTGTACTTCTTTTTTAGAAGTTAGAATCTTGAATTTATCTACTTCCTTGCTTTTTAAAGCATTTTTCTATATTTTTCTATATTCTACTTCATGATTGAATATTGTTGTTTTGTTGACACAGAACTCACATTTAGAGGGTTTAAGTTTCAGGCTCCCTTTTTCAAGCTCTATTAATGTCCTCATTAATCTGTCTCACATTTCTTCAATAGAGTTTTCAATAATAGTCAAATCATCCATGTAGAGTAGAATCTAATCAAATTTAGATAGCAATTTATTTACTGCTACTATTAAGTATGCAAGTGCGGTACTAATTCCAAAGAGTAAATTATTCCACTCATAAGTACCATATTTCCCAAATATACTAGCAGTATATTTTCTGCTATTTTCATGTATAAGGAGTTGCCAATATGCCGATTTTAAATCCATTGTTGTATATATTTTGTGTATAGCTATTTTTTGTAGCATCTGATATATATCAAATAAGGTCTGTTTAAACTGCCGTAAATGTTTATTAAGGCTTCTATAGTCTATGGCTATTTTTTTTGTGACATTTTTTTTGGTTATAACTAAGACATTTGCACCCCACTCAGATTGTGCTGGGTATACAATTTTATTTTTTACTAAGTCATCCAATAGGTTTTTTATGACTTTTAGTTCTTCTTCAGAGTATTTTCTAACCTGTTGTCTTTTATCTTTCTCAGGTATTTCAGTCTCTGGTGTTTTTAATTTTAATTCTATTTTCAGAATTACTTTAGGTTTTACACTAGTCCCAGGTTCAGGTTTTTTTCTAAAGCAATCGATATATTTTTCTAATATATCACTTAATTGTTTCTATATTTTAGGTCCACAGTTCTTTTTTAAGATTTCAATTCGTTCTTTAACAGCTTCTTTTTTATTCGTCCAATCTATTTCTCTTTTCTTTGGAATCTCAATTTCATTGAGAAAAAATTTTGGTGACTTTTCTAGTATTTCAACATTTCTAATATATTGATCTTTACTTATTTGGACTTCATTTTCTGAGTAATTTGCTATTAGTATATAGTTTTCATTTGCTATTCCTGGTTGAATAGCTATTTCTTTTTTAGCTAAATATTCTGAGATTTCTATGTATCTATTTTTTATAGATTTTCTTATTTTTACTAATAATACAGTCAGACCTCTTTAAATGCACGTCATCAGGACCAGCTCTAGCACATGCATTTAGAAAGGTATTGCATTTAGGGAGGTAAAAATCTATAGATATAATATTAGTTGGGCCCAAAAGAAGACGTGCATTTAAAGAGGTGTTGCATTTAGGGGGGTAGCATTTAGGAGGGTCTGACTGTATTATATACTTTGGTAATACAATATTTTGTGCACTGTATATCTGATCATCTTTTTTTGCATCTACTAATACTATAGGTATTATTTTCTTTCTTTTAATAGGGTGTATATGGTTTAATTGTATATGGAGATTATTATTTTTTATATGTTCTTGTATTTCTTTATCCATTTCTTTTAGAAATTCTTGTTGTTCTTTAGTTAGACTTTCATCATCACTTTCATCGGTTAGTGCTCTTATTCCTTCATTTCTTTGTTGTATTTCATTTTTTATTGATTCTTTAAATTTTGTATAAGCAGAGGGTCTAGGAAATCGTGAAGGTAATAAGTTTGGTGTTATTGAGTAATTATATATTATTGGTATTTGTTGATTTTCTTTATTGTAAACTTCTTGTTCTTGATTATTTCTATTAAATACTCTTTCAATGTTTTAAAATATCTCTTGTTCTTCATCTTCATTTTCAGATTTTGTTACTGATAGTGTATACATTTTTTGATTTTTATACCATGATGCTGGTAATAAAGTATTATTTCTATCTATAGGTTGTTTTAGATTTCTTGTTTGCTGGTTATTTTGAATTGGTGTTGGTGTTGGTAATACTATATCAGGAGTATTTGTAAGATCTACAGAGTTTCTCAAGCTTGATAGTGTTTTGGAGCTATGAGTATGTTGTTTTGAGGATCCTAATCCTCCAAACACTTGTTTCTATCCTTCTGTAGAGGATAAAGGTCTTAATTTTTTGGTTATTGATAGCATTTATCTTCTTTTTTTTTTAGAAGCATCACTATTAATTGATGATTTATCAAATTCTATTGGTGATTTTGGTGGTGATCTTGGGGATCCAGGATATTGATGTTCTTCTTGATATCCTGTTTTAGATAATTCTAATCTTGGAGGTGGTAGTTTAGTTTGTATTTGTGATTGATTTTTTGATAATTGTGTTTCAATATTTTCTTCAATTATCATTTGGCCTTTTGTTTCTAATTGTGTTGCAAGTAAGTCTCTGTATTTATTTTGTATTGCTTTTCTAGCTTCTTCATTTTGTGCATTATTTGCTCCTAATAGTAATTCATTTAATACTTCTCTTTGGTCCTATTCTGGCATTGCTTTAAATTGATCACTTGTAATGGTGATTGCTAGATTAGTATTTCTCTTATATTCTTTGAGCATATCGTTAATAGCTTCTCTTAATGCAAATATAGATGCATTATTTTTATTTGATATTTCATTTAGAAAATTAAATATATATTCTCTTCGTGATTTATGAGCTTTTCTATGGGTTACATCTGTTACTTTTTCTTTCATTTTTAACATTTCTTCTAGTTGATTATCATCTAGTAGTGAAGTATAATTGTAATGATGTTGAATTTGATGCAATTTTGTTCATAATTGCTCAAATTTTTCTTCTATTTTTGGATCTTTAATATCATCTCTACTTTTTAGTATTTGTTCCCAGTTTGTTAGCTTTTGTCTTATTATTATTCTTGGTCATATTGTTGGAGATCTACTTGGTGATCTACTTGGTATTTTTACTTTTTTACCTTTTCTATTGCTTAATTCCGCTTGTGGGAATACTTCTTCTTCAAACTAATTTATAGTTTGAATTGTTTCTTCAAGCATTTTATTGTTAAGCTGTTTTTGATCTTGTCCTTGTGGTTCTTTATTTGCTGGTCCTAGTGTTATTTTTGCTGGCTGTTTTGCTAAATTTACTATCTCAGGTTCTTCATAAATTATTCCAAATCCTATACCTGTTCCCATAGTAGGTATTACATTTCCTGAATTTTCCTGTTGGTCAATTGTATTAGACCATTGTTCTCTTTTTTGATCTTCTTCTAATAGATTATTTGCATATTTTCTGAGTTTTTGTACTTCCTGTACTTGTGCCAATTGATCTTGCTGTTCTATACTTGGTGTTTCTAATATCATTGCACAGACCTCTTTGTGCTGGGCTATCATTTGATAGACTTCTTGTGATATGGTGCTGGTTGGATCCATTAAGTGTGCATGTTTATCCATTCCTTTTCCAAATGTATATTCTGGTGGACTATTGTTAATATGTATTAACATTATCTCTTGTCTGTACATATATAGTACATTTCTAAATTCATATACCATTTTTCCACATCCTGCAGCATAGAAATACTAAGTGTCAAAGCAAATTCCTATTTGATTTCTTTCTTTTTTCTTATCTTTAAATCTTAACTCTTGTTTTATACTATCCAATTTATCCATGAGGTCAGCAACTGTTGCACCAAAACAGTTGTTAGATGCACTGTTTTCCAATAAGATTCCTATCTTCATTGGTTGTATTTTTTCTAATATATAGTTGACATTATCGATCACATCTGATCATTGTCATTTATCTTTTGTTCCTAAATGTAGAACTGCCCATCTTATATTCATTTCCTCTGCACGTACACATTCTTCTATGATTCTTTTAATTTTTTAGTTTACTTTATTTTCTCTATACAGTTGATCATTAATATATAGTCCAAGTGTCATATATAGTACCATTTTTAATCCTATATTTCTATTTTCTTCTATTATGTCTCTATCTGCTTTTTTATCATGCATTGCCATTTTCAATGCTTTATATTTTGGAGTATTTTCTGATTCTTGATATTTTAAGAATATCTGAAGGATATTTGATTGTGTCAATACTGCTATAAATACTATTTCTGTCTATATTCCATCTGTTGTTACTTCTATAAGTTTCTTTTGTTGCTTATTTAAAGAAACTTGTCATTTTAATTCTCTAATTTGTTCTTTAAAAGTTTGAGGTAATATACTTTTAATAAACTTTTGATTTTCTTTGGGTTTATATTTTTCAGTTACCCAGTTAATTTAGTTAGTATTGGAGTTTCCTATTGATAGTTTTCTGATATTCTCTTTAGGTTTTCGTTGTGGATATTTTTTAATAGCATGTAAGTATTCTCTTAGTATTTTCTTGCTAATTTTAGTATCTTTGAAGGCTTTCTTTTTGTTTTCTTTAGTTAGTAGTTTATTAGATTTTTTGTCTATTCTGAGCTCGAATTTATTTTGTTTACCATGTTGAACGCCATCTTAAACGTTAGCGAGAAATGCAGCCAACATATGTAACTTGCTAGTGGCTGGGGGTTTGTTTTTCAGACCATGTTGGGCGCTATTGCAAGGTTTTTTCTTGCTCTTAAGGGGTGTATCCCTAGCCTTTCGAGCGAGGTGACTAGGTGCAATAGTTGTGGGTATGCCTGCATTATTGTCACATGATACTGGGATAGACTCTTCTTTTTTCAAGGTGCAAGAGAGATTTCCTAGAACAGAGTTAAGATTTAACCCTGATAACCCTTGTGATTGGTTTGAAAGAATATCTTGATATGATATTGGTTTTCTATTTATTCGAGCTATTTTATTATTTCTATCTTTTGAGATGTTTAACCTGTCTTGATCTACTTCTGACAAGAGCATATAAGCTTGGTCTCCTTTAAGAATTGATATCTTAAGAGTGGCTTTAATATCTTCTACTTGGAATATTGCTTTTACTTGTTTAAGGTTTTCTATTGTTTGTCCTCCTGGTAAGATAGCAGTTGATTTCTTTGTGATGTCTATTTTTTCTAGTAGTCTTAATTCTTTTGCTATATTTGATCCTATAACATTTGCACTTGCTTCTTCGTCTAATAATACTAGTATTGGTTTGTTATTTAATAGTGCTATAAATTAGTATTGCTTCTTTCCTTTTGGTCTAAAATTTTGTTATTTAGCTTCTTTTGAAAATTTGCAGGTTTTAAGAAGATAATTGTATTCATTTTGTTCGAATACTTTCTTTATCATTTCTTTATTTGTAGGTTTGGCAAAGAACTTTTGATACTTTTGATAAATAATAGAATCTTTATTAAGTATTTTAGAGTTAATACATTTAATATTATTAATTTTTTGTATTTTGATAATACTAATAGTGTTTATGTTCTCTCTAGTATAGCCTTTAAAAAGTTTCTTTGGGGTTTTCTCTCAAATACTAGACGAGTCTCCTATTCGAAAGAATTAACTTTCTTCTGAATGGTTTTATGAAGGTTATTTGTAGTTATAACTTCTTCATTATCGGATTCTTCAGTTTTTTCTTCTTCAGATTCTGAATAGTATTCTTCTTCACTTTCTTCTTCATTTCCTTTGTAATATCAGAATTTCTTTTTAGTAAATTTCCCTTTGTATAGTTTTCCTTTTTCTTTATTATAAGGTTTCTTTGAGAAGTTTTCTTTTTTGAATCTCCCTATTTCTATTGGTACTATTCTTTTTCCTACTTTCTTTTCATTCATATATGTTCTATTATTTCGAGTACATCCTGGGTAATGTCTTGAGTATGGTTTTCCACATTGTGAACAAAATCTTTTCTTTTTGAGTTTTTAATTATTTACATTGTTAAAGGAGTCTTTTTTAGTGTTTGAGTAGCAATTTCTGGCAAAGTGTCCTGGTTTTCCATATTTAAAGCAATTTCCTTTAGATTTGTCATTCTTTAAAGTATCAATGTTTTTTATTGAAACTTTCTTTTGAGATCGTTCTTTTTTAGTGAATTTTGTATTATTCACTTTGGTTACTTTGATGTTGGCTAGATTTCCAAAGTTAATTTTTCTGCTTTGTAATATTATATGTCTTTCTGCTTGGAATGCTCTTTCTCCTGCATCTCAAAATTCTTGTAAAGTTGTTGGGTTAGCATGATGAATTGCTCTTTGTATTTCTATAGGCATTCTTGTTTTGAAATAATTATATTCTTCTGCTTTGAAATTGTCATTGAATAGATATCCAGAGATTTGCATTAATTTTTTATAAGTGTTTCTCCATGCAGAGAATGCTGATTCATCTTTCCAATTTGGTTTTACAAAGGTGTGTTTTAGGAATTTTTCTTGCCATGCTTGTTGGACATCATTTTTAATGAATGCTCTATCAAAGATTTCTCTCTATCTTTTTTGATTATGGGCGGCTACTACTATTCTGCAGGCTGTTAATGCTGCTACTGCATTATTTTGTGCTCCATTATATTTATAGTTGCTTGCAAGAGGATATCCACTATGATCTGGTAGAGTGTTTTTAATATTGTCTTGATTGTTAACATTTGATCTGAACCAGCTTAAAGCTTCATCTTTATTTTCTTTGTAAATATCTAATACTATATCAAATAGTTTGGTAGATACTTTTGCTATTATTGCTCTCTATAATGAAGTATTGCAAAATACTTTTAGATCATTCACATTTGCTATTTGATAGTTAGCATTTTGTCTTGTGTATCCTTCATCAGGATTTCTCTGAATTCAAATAATATTTTTGGTACATATGAAAAAATTGTAGTTTCTGTTTGATTTCTCTATTTGATATACTTTTTAGAGTTTCTGCTAAAAGGTTGTATCGCATTTTCTAGTCCTTGAATATTTGATATTTTAAGTTTTATTACTATTTTTTAACTAAAATATTCTCTATAACTTATTAGTTTAAATTGATATTTGCACTATACTGTTTTTAGCCACTTTTTAATATTATCTTTAGTTGCTCTGGTTATTTGGAGTATGTCTTCTTGGATTTGTTTTTCTCCTACTAAGAATGAGTATAATAATAAGGCTGCTATTTCTTCTTCTAAGATATTAATATAATAGTTTTTTTCTTCTTTGTATGTCCAAATTTTATTTTGTTTATCCGTTCAAGTTTTGATTACTTTTCTTATTGCTGGTCTTCCTAAATTATTTAGTTTGTAGTATAGCTTTGGTATGACTTTTTTAATTTTTGCCTTTTCTGTATTTTGTAAAGGTTTTGGATATTTTTGGAAGAATTGGTTGAAAACTCCTTAAAAAGTTATTTCTGTCTCAGGGTTCATTTATTGGTAAAGAACTCTGGTTTTAGGTTTGTTTCTTCAAAAAGTTTTTTTATAAACTCTTCTGGTTCTTTGTATTGTATTGCTAGTTGTAATAGTTTTGGATATAAATTTGGTGCTAATTTTCCGTTAATATAGGCTTCTTTATATTCGTGAAGTACGTATCTTTCTGCAATTTCTTTTACAGGTTGACTTTTTGTTATAACTTTTGGTCTTGGTTTGATAACAGGTGGTTGTTTAGGAATCTCTTTTTCTTTGATGATAGTTATTTCGTTATATACTTCTTTTGGTAGTTCTAGAAGTGATAATACTATTCCTTTATAGTCTGATTTAATAATGTACTTGCATTTATTGTGATAATAATTCGCAGTTTTCTT